CTGGATAACCGAACCCGTGTCTGTCGTTTTCTGACAGAGTCACTTCCTTAACAATATCATGTTTATCGTACTACTCTCTGTGGGAATATTGAGAAGTACACTTATAATTGTACAATTAATATTATATAATCATTACTGATATGGAGAAGATGACTTAGAGACCATTCACATTAATCATGACATAGAGGTCCATGTAAGGACAGTGGGCCTGGAACACTAGCCCACCTCCAAGACTGCATGGCTTCCCTGTCCCAGCGTCCTCATATGTGGACATTTGTGAGGCAAACACTGTAAAAACTGGAACTCAATCACGCCTCATTCCACCTCCCATAGAAGCCTCTTGATATAGATTTACTCCAACAGGTAACCATGCTCCATGCATGGATTCTGTAATCAGAACTGAGAAAATGATGAGGTTTTCATTGACATTTTAATTGCAATTAATATGTAAAGCGAAATGTAAAAAGCTTGTGTACACCTATTTTTTTAGAATACTGAAATTAGACATGTAAGATATTAAAATGTCTAGTGTGAGTAACTTAGGTGTATACAGCTTTAGTTCAAAATAAGTATCACAGGCTGAATCAGGGTTAAATTGCAGAATCATCTGAGTATGTAAAAAAGAGGAAGACGCTGACATTATTTGAACTACAGCATCTTTTCTGGTAACTGCATTGGAGGAACAGATGTTGCCTGAGTCAGAAACTGCCCAAACTCTATCCAAAGTACCAGATAAATTAATATGCCTGTAAAAGAGGCATCTAACCTAAACAAATTTTTATGACTGACTGAATGTGTATCTCCTGTGTGCATGCACAGATAGAACATGCCTGTGTTGGACATGTCTGAAACAGTAGCAGTCCACAACAGTAGCAATCCAGCAGACTAATTAGTAAATGAGGAAACAATTGCCTCAACTTGAGCTGCAAATTCTCCCTCTCAGAAGCTTGACCCACTCACTCAGTCAGGGATATAGTCAGCAACTGCCTTATATCACTCCCGACTCTTAATTATCTAATAAAATGCATTCAGGCCAGCAGTGCCCTTCATACAGAATATTTCAGATGACGATCTTCCCTCTCCTTTAACCAGCAGTGTTCGTGATTAAGCAAAATCTATCTTTCCATCAAAATATGGTCCTAACTGGAAGGCAACACTCACAGATCTTTCAAAGGTCCAGAACAGTAAAGAAAATCACATTTTATTTATTTATTTATTTATTTATTCAGTCAGTCAGTCAGTCAGTCAGTACCCCACCCATCTCCCCCCAATGGGGGACTCTTTATATTATATTACAGGTCAGGGGACAATGTAGAGATGGCTTACTATTAGAGACCACTTAATTCTTGCGTTTGAGGGGAAAAATCCAAAAAACATCAACTAGTCGGAACTCACCAACGAATGGATGGATGTCGCCCCTTAACAATGGGCTGGTATCTGCCATTTTATTGGCAGAGGCGGCCCTGAATTGGATGGCAGGCGTGGAAATAGTGGAAAGGGCAAAGTGCAGTAACAGAACTGCGGGAAGTATGGTAGCCATATTCTTTATTTTACTTTGAAAGAAGAAAGGAAAGATCAGTTTCAGCTGGCATTTACCGGAGCAAAGCCTGCTTTAAACGAAGCGACCTTGCTACCTCCCTGCGGTGGTGGCATGAGGTGTATTCTTCTTTACAGGGCGGAGCGGTAAATAAGTATATACCGTAGGGCACCTGACACAGAGAGCCCGCCCTCGCCCTCCAACAGGAGCGCTGCCAGCGGAGCCCTCAGGAAACCCGCGCGGGGGCCGCTGCAGCCCGAGGGGGCGGGTTCTCCCTCCCGCCTTCTGCTCCTCACTCGGGGCTGGCGCTGGCGGCGGGGAAGAAGCCGCTTAGCGCCTCGGCTTGGGGGAATTTCTCTCTGCTCAGCCCTGGTGAGAGCGAGGACGACTCCGCCGACATGGCAGCTCCGCGGGGCTGCTGGCTAGTGGTCGTTCTCGCCACTGTCGTACCTGACGTGCAGGTAAGGCTGCGCGGGGTCTTTCCATATCCCCGATCGCGCTCCCGCTCGGTGGCTTCTACTTGGTGGCGGCCAGTTTCGAAAGCTTCTGCAAACAGCTAACCAGACGTGTACAAATCAGTCCAACTTCTGACATCTTTGTGCGAAATGGCGTGCGTGTGTATTGTGAGTGTGTGTCTTTCTGCACATTAACTGATTATGTGTCGTCAAGTCGTTTTCGGCTCCTTAGCGACCACATAGATAGATTTTCTCCATGATTCTTTCCCTCCCAGGAGCACCCCTCCCCCGTATCGATGAGGCAGCACGGCAGAACTTGGGGGGGAGGTGTCTTTACATTGGCACTACTGCATATTGTGCAAATAACAGCGACCTTAACTGCTAAATCTGCATTTCTGCGCTCACTTATCTGGGAATGCCCCCACTGAACTCTTGTCTTCCTTGCATAGATCCTCATAGGGTAGGGTGGAGGATTAATTGCACTTAATTCCTATTGACATTAATGGGGCTTAAAATAGTCATTGTTAGCCTTTCCCATTGATTTCAGTGGATCTCAACTGACCTAATCTGCAATCAGTTCACTGTTGTTTCGTATTCATGCTGGGATCCTAAACAAATATTCTCTGAAACAAGCTCTGCTGGATAGTTGCACACACTGTACTAAATCATAATTTTGACTTGTTGATTTCAGCATAATGTGTTGTACAAACCTTGCCATGTATGGTTTGCAGCCCATCATTTATGGTTGAGTGTATTGTGTAAATGAAAGCAACTGATTATGGATTATTTAATGAACAGTAGTTTAGCAACTATGGATTAGTGTGATAAATGAACTAGGCAACTAAGTTTAATGGAATTAACTTGAATGCTCAAGTTGGCCTTTCTTCCAGTAATTGTAAAGATAGAACAGTGATTTGCAAGTGGGAGGGAATCATTTGTTTCATCATAAGTGCTGTAGCACACATGGAGACACAAACAGTATAAACCATTTAGAAAAAAAACAGAAGGATTGGGACTGAAAGAAGTAAATAAGCATTGATTTATTCCAGCAAATCAAAAGCCCTCCTCAGAAGGAACATACATTCTGGAAAGAGTAGCAAAATCAGTTTCAGAGAATTAAAAAGGAGTCATTCTTTTTAATGCTTCCAATTTCCTTCAGCTCTGTCTTACCTAAAACAAACCTCATGTTAGTGTTTTTACTTCAGTAAGTTTTGAAGTGAGAAGGAAAACAGGCCATTCCTAGCCAACTTTTTCAGGATATGTGCACCCAGTAAGGCTTTATAGAGGAAGATTGTTACAGCATATAGTTTGCATGTGCTGAAAAACACAGTGTTAGAATACATACAAAGCACAGCTATCCATTTACTCATGTTTGTGTTTTCAAATCTTCATTGGGAACAGACTGTGGTGGTTTTCACTGCTCTTGGTCTTTGGTAGTATACTTCCAGCTGGAAAAGTCTCCGGTGATGTGGCTTTCACCACTTCCCTTGGGAAGCTACCCTATAAACTAAACTCTGTATTTAAACATTAAGATGTTTGTGTACGTGTATATATATATATATGTATGTATATGTATATATATATATATATTATATATAAGTGTGTGTGTGTGAGAGAGTCTCTTGTTTCACTCCCTCTGATGTTTGACTCTATTATTATTAGTTACATCTCAATCTTTAAAAAAAAATCCTTACAGAATTATTTTAAAATATTCAAGAAGTAATTTGAGCAACCCTGGATAAAATGTGATAAATCTGCAAGAAATTAGGAAGAAATCAATGTTGTTCTTCTATGAAGGTCAAGTATATATATTATTAAACAATTTTGTGCTTTTTAAGTGTAGTATAAGTCAACTAGCTTGCAACAGTATATGGTAGTGCTATATCGCTAGTTTAGAATTGTGCTGTGAATCAGGAAGTAATTGTGTTGAATTTTACCTCTCCTGTTAGCATAATCGATAACCATAAATCATATTCAGCCACCTGTCTGTAATATTTCTCAGCAATATTTCTTAGCTTCTCAAGAGTCAATATTGGACCAAGATATATATTGTTATGGGAAGACCATATAATGTGTATGAAGCGCTTTGAAGACTCAGAGATATGCCGATGTTGGTGTTCATTGCTCTTGGTACTTTTCTTGCAGACATTTCCTTACCAATCTGTCTAACATTGTCAGTACTTTGACGAAGTTACAGTGATGTTTGGTGTTAAAGCACTGACAGTGTTACCTAAATTGGTAATGATATATTTACAAGAAGAAAACCAAATTCAGTGAATACCAAGATCTCAACACTTCATCTCAGAACATTTAAAAGTTCACTATAATTACTATAGTGTAATTGCACTATTTTTTACAGCTATGTATAGTTCCAGATTCAAAAGGCAAAGTATGATTTGGAGCATGTGTGAATGTGTTGGGAACATCATAAACCCAACACATTTTTTCCTGGAATTGTGTATCACCAGCAGAGGGCATATGCATGAGCCCAGGAAAAGATATAGCCACTTTAAATTGTTCCCAGCACATGCCACATGTGTGCCCAGGTGCATTCTGAATCGCATTTTGCCTTTTGAATCTGGATCTCTGCACAGATCTATTATTTTTACACTTGTGACTCTCCTGTTATGTCCAAGACCACCATCTTAAACTAGGCCTGATGTTTTTTTTTTTTTATTCATATATGAACAGAAAGCCACAACTGCATTATTTTTATTCGGTATACATTGGTACATATTTTACTATCATCTGTTTTCCATTTTACCTTATTAGTGATTTATATTTAGTCTTGCCATATGTATAAAAAACAAAACTATATTAAGCATTTTATAGAGAGAGAGTGCGCAACAAAGTAATGATACAGTAAATATTAATATTTTAAGAATTATGAAGGTTAATAAGGAAAAAAATTAAAAGTTAACAGAAATAAGTCTAACTCATTAATACTTTTATAATGCTCAATAGTTTGAAAGTGTTCTCCAGATTCAAAGTTGAGTGAAGTACTAAATTGTACAAGAATTCTGTAAATATTAAGACTAACATACTAACATCCAGACCTAAAATTATGAATCTGACACCTCCCACGTTATTTCTGAAACTTTTGATTGAACCCATGATGTATAGTTAAAATGCAGCTTATACAGTGGTGCTAGCCCTCTTGGTAAAGCTTTGACATCCCCCCTCCCACTAACATCCAGACCTAAAATTATGAATCTGACACCTCCCACGTTATTTCTGAAACTTTTGATTGAACCCATGATGTATAGTTAAAATGCAGCTTATACAGTGGTGCTAGCCCTCTTGGTAAAGCTTTGACATCCCCCCTCCCCCCAAGATCAATGTGCTATATAGAATGGAAGGATCCTCAACAGGAAAAGCATCAACATTAATCTATGGGACTTTATAGAGACAGAAAATGATTCCAGCCTTTTAAATTCCTCCCATATTAGTCAAGTCTTATAATGTGCAGTTATTGATGCACTAGATATAATTGTTGCAGTTGGGGTGCACCAAATAGGGAAAAACATGCAGCAGCAGCTGTAGTATCTATGAGAGAAAGGATAAATAATGCCTGACAGAATATTTCACTAAGCACCATATCGTGTTCTCTTATATATTAGGTCCTGGGCCAGTGAGTGTCAGTCGCTTTGGCTTTACAGTTAACTGAGAGAAGAAGTCACAAGCAGAAAACTCTTCTTGACTATCTCCACATTACTCCTTTGATTTCAAGGTCAAGGATGAAACACATGACATACAGTTTGCTTTTTTTTTTGCACTGGAATAAGAAGAGGGAATGACTGGAAACCCTCATCTTTCTGTTCTTTCCACCAATCATACCAGGGTTTTTTGTGTGTGCGTGTGTGGATACACTCTGAATTTGCTTTATGGATGTTTAAGTTGGCATTTTTATTTTATTTTTGCATAATGCATTGTCTTCTCTTAGTTAAGAATGGAATGCATGGAGCAGGATTTATTTCCTTATATTTGTTTGATGTTGAGTATATAAGGATACCAAAATTTATCCCTTCCCAAAATTTCTTTGGATTAATCATTACAGTTGTATGTACTGTCAGCAATTCAAGTCACTACTTCCTCCCTGAGTCTTACTAAATCTTTGGATTCAACCCACATCCTGGCAACAAGTTCCTCATTCTAATTTTATAGATAGTGTGAAGAACAATATTGTTTTTCATTCCATGTATTTCAATTGTGCTTTTAGAAAAGGGAAAGGAGAAAAAGTACACAAGTTCAAAAGGTGTAAGTAGAGCCACAGATTTTTTTTTTT